CCAAAACAAAAAAAACAAAAACAAAAAATAAATAGAACAAAGAATTTAGGTTTGGCTTACAATCCCCTCTAAAAAATAACCAAAACTTTTTTAACCAGTCCATTTCCTAATATTCATCAGAATAAATAGGTACAAAGATGGAAAAGCAAAAATTGAATTAAACCTTTTTACTGTTTCTTAAAAAGGCATAATTAGTTTATTAACTAAAACCAAATGTTATATTTTAGGCCTGTGAACATTTTTTGTTTTAAAGGCCAATCTCTCACAACTTCAACTAATAATCTGTATTTAAATGAACAAATGAACATCCCTAGCCTCCAAGCTCTGGTACTTTTGATTCCCTCCGGGCCATTTTACCTCCTGGAATTCTTCATTTCTATTAAGGTCACAATTATGGCTCTTGAATTGTTAGAAAAGTCTCTCTATTCCCACTGCCAATTCCTTTTTAAGTCACACTCTTCCTCATATCACTTCAATCCCAAATTTCTGCAAGAGGCTCCTCCTACCTTTAATCTTTAACCCATCCTGCACACTACTACCAGACTAATGTTTGCTACATTCCTTTCACTTTTGCTATATTCTTTTCATTCCCCTCAATTCAAGAGATCAAATAGACTCTCAACTGCCTACTACTGGATTGGGTCCAAACATCAGCCTGCCTGTCACTTAGAGCTCTCCATGATCTCACACCACCGTGCACAGACAACATTGTCGGCACTACCACTTCATTTCAATCTGGTCCCTTTATTGACACCTGACATTCATCTCCCTGATTTTCCCACTATCAAAATACTACTCACCATCCACAGAAGGTCCAGGTCAAATCCCATCTACTAAGCAAAGCCTTCCCTAACTACCTGTAGCTTACAGAAGATGAAATATGGTATGGTGGTAAGAGCACTGGACTTCATGCCAATACCTGGATTCTGCTTTCAACTTCTGCACTTACTGGGTTCGCTTAGGCTGCATTTTTAAAAACTGAGTCAACTCACAATCTCTCTGGATCTCAGCTCTCATAAAAATAAGGGGACTGGACCACATATTAGGACTTGAAAAATTGTTATACATCTAGGAACCAGCCCAGAACTTAAGAGCTTTTTCATTTTCCTAAGAGAAAAAAACAAACCACCAAGCAAAAAACAAAAATAAACAAACAACAAAAAAGAATCTCCCAAAGTAGAGGCAAACAGGCATCTCAAAAGAAGATTTGAAAAAGTCTAAAGAATGAGCTTCACATCCTGGACAAAAAGCTCTGCTGCATCTGAAATCCTCATGTCCAGCAGCTCTCCCCCTTCCAGTTCACCTAGAATTTAGCTTGGGGCAGGTACCAGAATAGAAAAGAGAGGAGCCTTCAGGAAAGTCTCCAGTGAAACCGAGTGGAGCTGTCCAGTGCTGATAACAAAAATTTGAACCCTGATTACTTTGGAAAAGTGATTTTTGTAGTTCCAACGAAGAAAATGCAGAAAATACACTGTCAAGTCCTTGTCTATTAAATAATCTGTTGGGATCCTCACACTTCTTAAATTCTAAGATCTCTTCATTTCCCAAATTCCTTCTGTACTTACTCTATTCATCTGATTTAGTATTCGATTCTAAACTGCCCTGTTTCCTTAAGATTCCTATTTTTTTTATCCACCACAGCACCTTTAAGTAAGAAACAGGCACTCAGTCAATTTTATTCAATTGTTAATTGAATATTTCAAAAGATAAACATAGAAAATAATTAATGTAGTTTGTAAAAAATTTCACTCAACCATATTTCCCTTCCTAAAAGGCTTCATCTGGTCTTTCAAACTGAAAAGAACTTTTTCACCTATAAAGGGAAAATTCCAGCTACTATATTCAGCAAATTTAGTATTAAAAAGTTCTTCATACTGATTCTGAGAAACTACAGTACATTCTATTTTGCTTTCCTTTTTTTTTTTTTTTTGTTAAGGAAACTCATTTTATCAATTAAAGGAGGAAAGCTCAATATCCTTTTCTTACCTTTGTAGGAAAAATATACACTTAACCCAATAGTAACAATAATAAATATCACCAATGATTTCCACAATCCTTTTTGTTACCATAAACATATAATGCTTCTCCATTTCTTACCCTCAAAGGAAGATTTATTTCTTCAGTGTATATGAAATATTGGTCACACCTAAAGCTACCACAATTGCCCTTTCACAAAACATTATCTTCTTGAAATATTCAAGCTAAATCAGATGCAACAAATTACGCTGCATTACATAGTATGACAAACCTCATAGCGTGCCAACTTGTGATCTCTGCCACTAAAAGGGCCTTCTGTTGTACAACTATGTGGATTTTACAGGAAGTGCTAGTGAAAAGCAGTCTAATAAATAGGAAAATAGCCAAACCTCAAAGTTTTCTGGTTTACTTCTACTTCACCTGTGATACCTCCTTGCTTTTATGGAAACCAGATTTCTATTTTAAGGTTATCCTCTAAAGAACAGGAACAGGAACTAGACCAGTGGATTTTGCTGGCCTAGAGAACTTTAGGGGAAAACTCCCTCTACCAATGGTTTGGCTCCTCAGTAACTTAAGTCTTGAGAGTCATCCTAGAGCACTGAGGTTCAGCGATTTGCCCCAGGTCAATTAAACCCAAGTCTTGCTAGCTCTCAGGCCTGCTCTCTAGCCACAACATCCTTGCTGTTGCCTCCCATAAAATAAAACAAAAGACCAGGGCCTATCGGGTTAACTATCAAAAACAATGCACTAAAAATCTCTGAAAGAATATAATGATAGCTCACATTTATATGGCATTTTAAGGAGTGCCAGAGTTTTGCAAAGTACCTAGACATAATCTCATTTGATCTTTACAACAATCCTGTGGAGGGATAGTATACAAATTCTGAGAAGAAAGGTAATTTTCAGTTTACCGTTGTCATATTAAAATTAGAGTTGTTTACAACTTATTTAAAGGGACAAAAGAATTTCTTGTGATTAAAAACAGCTGTAACATTGAAAATGGAAAAACCTCAAAAAAAACTTTTTTCATATTAAATTTAACTTGTCAATGACTACTGGTATTTTTAGCTAGGCTAAAATAGGAATATACATATAGTATCTCAGTTCCTCTCACAAAAGCCTAGAAATTATACCCTTGAGTTACCTTATTGAGAGGACACTTTCTCTTCTCAATAAAAAATACTGAGATGAACTATTAGGGATCTTTCATTTTCAAGAGAGTTGTTTTTGTTTTAATTACAAAGGTGAAGAAGAGAGATAGGTGGGATGATCTGAAGAAGGAAGGCTGGGCATACTAAAAAATTCCCAACTTCTTTTAAAACAAAAGGAAGCTAACATATAACCTAACTACTCCCCCCCCCCAAAAAAGGGATCTTATTCTACAGTGAGTAATCAAATCTGAAAAAGACTCAGGAACACCTAGAAAGGAATACTATACAGATAAGCTATACAAATTTGATAGTTGCATGGTATAAATAAAATTTTTAAATGAAAAGTTAAAAAAGTAGAAACCATTATTCTCTGGGTTTGGGTTGGGTTTTTTTTGTTCTGATGGGGAGTGGGAGTGTCCCAGTAACTTAGGCAAGTTATTCTTATGCCAGGCTCCTTTAAAATAATACTAGTTCTGTTTTGTCAGGAAAACTTTTGCTTAAATACTTTCACAGAAAGTTTCTCAAAGGAGTCAATACACTACCAAAATAAGCAATCATGTGATTTTTCACCTATGTATCAGAAATGGTCTGAATCATTTAACTATAAAAATGCTCTTTTAAATCTTCCTAAGAAAAAAACCAAACCAAACCAAACCCTGAACTGACCTTCTGATTTGACTCTATGGCTCCAGAAAGCTCGGTACAGTTGACAAGTGTACCCAGGCGTAATGAAGAGCCCAGGAAGCCTTGGCTTGGAATTCCTGCTGTCACCAGTTGTATGACCAGACAAGAGAAGTTACAATCTCTAAGACTCAGTTTCTTGTACTACCTACTTTGTTGGGATCGTTGTGAGGAAAGTGTTTAGGAAACATTAACCGCTACATAAATGAGTTATTATTATTTAAAAAAAATTTCTTAGCTCCGTCCCTCCCTCCAGTGAACACCTGAACTGTTGTCACTGTTTCCATGTGACCCAAGCCACCTGAAGCATGAAATGTGTTGCTTAGGGGCTGTTTATGCTCTGCATTCAGAAGGGGGGAGGGCTTCTGCACACTGAAGGGAGCTGCTCAAGTACAACTCCGAATTCCCTAAGTTGGACTCTACAGCTCACGGTGGGCACACCACCACCCGTCCTAACTGCAAGCATGCTATCAGTGATCCTGAAAACTTTCAGGGCTCGCTGTCCTGCCCTAAGGGGCTCTTTTCCCCCAAACGAAGGTGGATCACGGTTTCTGATGGGCTGTCACTGGCTCCCCCTAAGTCGCAGCGCCCGGGCCCAGCTCGGCACAGGGGCTCTCTCGGGTCCCCCCCATCTCGGCACGTCCAGTGTCCTCCTCGGACCCTCGCAGCTCTAGCCCCCGGGCTCTCGGGGCCCGCTTGCCTCCCCCGCTTCCTCTCCGCCTTAGCTCCAGGTCAGGAGGGTCCCGTGCAGCCTACGAGCCTCAGTTTCCTCCTCTGCCAAGGGAAGGACGGGCTCCCCCGAACCTCGGGGGCCCGGCCGTGCCCGCAGCCTCTCGCCTCCGCCGCCCCCCGCGCCCCACGAGGCAGCAGCCGTTTGGAGAGAAAGGGAGCGGGCGGCGGCGAGGGCCCGAAGAGGGGAGGGGGAGGCAGGGGCGGAAGGACCCCCCCCCGCCCCCCCCCGGCCTTCCCCCCTCCCAGGCCCCGCCGGCCGCAGCGGGCCTCAGGCAGCCTGGACCGGGCCTGGGGCCAGGCCTCCGCCGAGCCGCGGCCTCCCCCCCCCCCCCCCCCCCCCCGCCCCCCCCCCCCCGGGGTGCCGCCCCGCCCCCGCCCCCGCCCCCGGTGCAGGCCGTGGCCTCGGCCTCGGCCTCCTCCGCCCGGGCGCCCGCCCGGCTCGCGCTGCTTTGTACTCACTCTGCCCTCGAAGTTGTTCTCCTCGACATCACTCATGTCGGCCGGGCTCTTCCCACCGGGGCTCCACGAGAGGCAGGGCTCGGCGCGGGGCCGCACCGGACCGGACCGAGGGCAGGGGGCGGCGGTTAACTGCCGCTCCGCTCCCGCAGACTCCCAGGCTCGAGCAAAATGGCGACCGCCGCGCCGCCGCGGCCTCCTGCCCGCCTCACCGCGCGCGCCGAGGGGCGGGGCCGAGGGCGGGGCCCGGGGGGGAACCTACGTGCTGGGGGCGGGGCCTGGCGCCCGGCGTCATGAGGCCCCGCCCGGACCGCGGTCCCCGCCCCCGAACGCATGCGCGCTGCGGATCCAGCGCCGGAGGCGGCATTGTGCGGCCCGGCGTGGGAGGCGCGGATGGGGCGGGGCCTAGAGAGCGTTCTCTAGGCCCCGCCCCCGGCTGCCCCGCCCGGAGCCGCCCTCCGGCTGCGCCGGTGAGGACCCGGGAAGGCAGAGTTCCAGCGTCCGGCAATGCAAGGCCAGCCGTCCCCCGGCTCTCCGCCTGACCTCCGGCACCTGGCCCCTCCCTGGTTGGTCCAGCAGGAGCCCGGCTCGTCTCAGGAGGCTATGAGCCCCGACTTGGAGCCTTTCCCGGGCCCTGCACGCGCCTAGTGCCCCGCTTTTTTGGTGATCTGCTGTAGACGGATCCGTTCTGTCTGTGGCTCGCGGTTCACTTCCCGTCCCCCTTGCAGCTGGACGCGTTTTCCCTTTTGTATCCCCAGCAGCGCTAAAAACCTCGCCCGGCCACATCGCGGTTCGGTGGTGTCTGACTCTCGGTGCCCCCATTTGGGGTTTTCTTCCCAAAGATTCTGGAGCGGTCTGCCATTTCCTTCTCCGGCTCATTTTACAGATGAGGACACTGAGGCAAACAAGGTTAAGTGACTTGCCCAGGGTCGCACAGCTGGTAAGCGCCCGAGGCCAGATTTCAATTCGTGTAGAGGAGTTTTCCTGCTTCCAGGCCCAGCGCCCAATCCACTGTGCCACCTAGCTCTGACCAGAGCTGGGCCTTAAAACTGAGAACTCGTTTGTAGAGCCCTCCCCTCCCAACAAACCACGGAGGCTTCGAACGGTCGGGACTAACCCTCTCTGTTTTACGGAGGGGGAAACTGAAGCCTATAGAGATGCCAAGGCGAAGCCACTCTCCCCGGGTCACCTGATTAAAAAGCATTGATGATGTAAGAAGTAGGTTCTGAAAAGATCGGAGTTTGAAGGAACCTTAGCCCAGACCCCCTCATTTTACAGAGGAGGCGAGCGGGGAAGGAGGTTGGCTGATTTACCGAAGCGACAAAACTCGGATCAATTCGTTTTGTATACGACGGGTCTTCAAAGCAGAAGTTGTTGGAAGATCCCTGTCAGGGCTGACCAGGAGCACTGTTATTACGTATCTTGGTAAAGCTCAACCGGGAGTAGGGTGGGGGAGCGGAAGGAAAGAAAGAAATTGCATCTAAATGCGTTTTTACCGAAGCCTCTCGTTTCAGCAAAGGAAGAAGCAGCTGTGCTAACCACTTGGTCTCGCTTTTAGAGCATCACGACTCAAAGCTTCTCAGATCCCCTCTCCCAGTTAGAGAGAAATATGAAACAAGGGTGGAAAGGCTGATTGCGGAGGCCTTTGAGGGACTGAGGCAAGGCAGCTGAGTAGCTGTCCTTCAGCGCTCGGCGTTGGGAAATGTGAATGTCCGACCAATTAGTCGAGAGGCGATGGGGATGTATGGGATAGAGTCAGAACTTCGATTCTGGAGACCTGGCTCAAATCTGTGCTGAGACGCTCCCCAGTTGTGTGGTGTGAGGCGAATCGCTTCTGAGATCTCCTCTGCTTTATCTGTAGAACAGCTAATAATACTATCATTAGGCACTTCGGGGAATGCCTGGAAAATGATCGTAGGTAGACCTTACAGCTGCTAGAGAAACAGGAGTCCTTGTTTGTTACACATATGAACTCATTGTTCCATATAATCTCAAGGAATTTGTTTTTGTTTTAAATGGAGAATTTTCTCCTTCAGAACCCAACCCCACCACGAAAATCGCATTTGAGGAAGTCAAAGGATTCTCTGGTGTTCTTGTTGAGAATGTCAAGGCCACAAAGGACACAAAGGTTCATGAATTTGATCTCTCAAATGCCGGTGAATGACTGATGGGAGGAGGGGGGCAGGGGAAAGGGAGGGGAAGAAACAGTCGCAACAACAGGAAAAAAGTTCATTTACCTTTCTGGAGCACATTAAGGTTTACAGAACTGTTTCCTCACTAAAATTGTGAGTCAGGCACTACAAAGGTCATTAGCTACAATTCAGAGATGAGGAAACTGAAGCTCTGAGCACTAGCGAGGGTCTCAGGAGAGATTGTACACAGTCCCCTGACTCCTAGTTCAGGGCCTTATCCACAACAGCACGGCAGCAAAGCAATCATATTGCAATTAATTCTTTCTTTCTTTTTTTGGAGGCAATTGGGATTAAGTGACTTGCCCAGGGTTGCATAGCTCAGAAGTGTCTGAGGCCACATTTGAACTCAGTTCCTCCTAGCTGCTCGCTCTTCCATCCATCCATCCATTCTTCCTTCCTTCTTTCCTTCTTTCCTTCCTTCCTTCCTTCCTTCCTTCCTTCCTTCCTTCCTTCCTTTTCTTCAATAAGTCTTCTATGACCCTGTCTCGTCACAGCTATCTGTCAAAATGTCCTTTAAAAAAGCTTTTCCTAATTCTTCGACAAGACTGCAGGCCTTCCTTGTTAACACACACACACACACACACCCCAACACCACCCTTATATGTAGATCTATATCTATATATCTGTAACAGTAAAGCAAGGGTTAGGATAAAACATAATCCAATTCCCTCACCATTTACTAAGCACTTAAGAGCTAGATCAGTGTGCAGCTAGCTGCTGGGGAGGAGAGATAAAAAGTTTAGAGAAAAATCTGTATAGGCTTGCCTAAGGCAGCCGAGAGGAGGCCCAGACAAGGAAGGCTTTCTGATGAGAAGAAGTGGGACTTCCTAGGCCTTGGGATGCAGGAATTAAGCTTTCTATCCAGAGAAGGGAGATTTCTTGTGCAGTGCCTGCCTTGGTGGGGGGAGGGGAACCTCAAGTTTGAGAGTCCTCGAATCTGACCTACCTGGAAAAGGGAATGTAGTCCTCAAAAATCTCTTTTCAAACCAGAAGCCAAGCAATCAGGCATAACATTGTCCACAAACTCCCCTGTCAGGACCATGGATATGGTAGCTCCTGTAAGCTGCTTGGCCAAGACACCCCACCTTTCTGAAGTGGACACTGCCTGCCCTTGGAAGTCTCTATTCAGGTCTCTAAACTGTGCTTGGTAAAAGAAAGCAAAGCAGAAATCAGGATCCTCCTTTTCTTTGGCTATAAAAGTAAACAAAGGCAGCAGCCACGTGCTTCCGCCTCCAGGCAGTCATTAAAGGCTTACTCTCCCAGGGAGAGCCAGTAGGATGAATAACCAGGCTGGATGATTAGTCAGCTCCCTTTCGATCATCACTCCTTACGGGGTAAAGAGACAGGCTTTCCCTCAGTAGTGGTCACAGGAAGGACCTGAGAGGCCCACAGAATGAGAGAGTATCAGAGCTAGAAACCCCAGACTGGATGGCCACTTGTCAGCAAGATTGAGGAGGAAATCCTAGGTCAGGCATGGGCAGGCTGGACTCAAAAAGCCAGTGTGAGCCCATTCCAGCTCTGATATTCTGTCTTATCTGAGTTAGTCTTGGGTCTCCTGAGAAGACGGTGAAGGTCTCATGGGCTGGAGCAGTTGGCCTAACACAGTGCCTGGAACAGCATTGATTCTTAATGACTCTTTAATTGAATGGGGTTGTTGCAAGTGTAACCTACGAGACTTGTGGATGGGGCCTGGGGTGCTGCTCACAGAAATGATCTGGGGCTGCAGGACTGAAGAACTGGGAAGGTCATCAGCTTGTCGGAAACCATAAAGAAACCAAGACTCATAGCTCGTTGAAACCTGACCCAGCCTCACTGGATTGCCTTGCACTTGGTTGATAGGTGAATGTGTTGGCTCCATTTTCCGTTCTCCATTCTTCTTACCCCCAGCTCCCTTCTTGAACTATTACAGGTTGATTAATTTTTAAATTTTAAGACCATCAGCTAGAACAGGTGAATGCTTGCCTTGACACATACACCAGCAGCCCCTTCCACCCAACTACAGACCTATTTCCTAACAAAAGATTAGCCACACACTCTGTGTTCGATTTAAGTAGACTGTCCCAAGAATGAGGGCATTGCTGTGCCAAAGTAACAAGGAAATCTTTCTCTTGAGTGAGTTATAGCAAGCTGTCTAAACGATAGAAATCTCATGAGGGCAGGGATTGTTTCTGCTCCGTTTTTGTATTCCTAGGCCTAATGGGGTGCCAAGTACTTAGTAAGTACATCATAATAGTTTGTGGAATGGAACTGAATTGGTGGTAACAGGCTTATAAACTATGAGTTAATAGAGACAGAGTTAACAAAGAGATAATATGGCCCAAGCCCCCAAACGGAGCTTCAGGAGAGAGACAGAGAGCAGTTCCCTGAGAGATGGCAGCTGCAGTGACGAGACCTGGTGATGACCCAAACCAGGTGGCAGCAGCACACATAAAGCCTTGGTGGTGATCTTCATTCCGTATCTCCTACTCCCCGGGATGGAAGGGGGGGCACCCCCATTAGCTCTTCTTATGCCTGATTAAACTTTGAGGGCAAGCGTGGTTCAAAATTGCTTTCCAGAACAGTCTGTCTTTTTTTAAATCACAGTCACCCAGGTCCAATAAAACTCTTCTTCTAACAAAAACAATTCAGCAAAATGGATTGTAGCAATTCTTCTGCTCTAACTTTTCTACGTAGCCAAGTAAAGGTCATGTTATCCCCCCATCCAGCTTTCCCTTCCAGCTCCTCAGATCCTTGACTTCTTTGCCCTCCCACCTTTTTTTTTTTGTTTCCCTTTTTCTTATTCTAATTTTTTTTGTTGTTGTTGTTTAGTCGTTTCAGTCTCGTCAGATTCTGAGACTCCTTTTTTGCAGTTTTCTTGACAGTCTTCTATACTGGAGTGGTTTGCCACTTCCTTCTCCAGCTCATTTTACAGATAAAAAACTGAGGCAAACAGGGTTAAGTGACTTGCCCAGGGTCACAAGGCTA